GGGATTCGATGTCGCCATGGTGGGTGGAGGCTGCGAGTTTCTCTGGTGTCACAGCCGGCTCACTGGTTGATTTGCGATTGGAATGCCGCATTCGCCCCGCTGACTTACATGTAGCCTCGGCTGTGGTGGCTTCGGCTATGGCGTCGGCGAGGGATATATCACCCTTAGCCATCAATCTGCTTTGGAGTGCTGGATCTTTTAGGCCAAGAACGACCTGGTCTCGCATGACCTTGTCTAGGTTAGTGAACCCACATAAGCCCCCTAGGTCTCTCAGGTCGGCTACGAACTCGCCGATGCTCTCACCTTCACGCTGATCATGCTGGTAAAAGTCATGCCTTCTGATAAGGGTTGGTACAGCCGGGGCGAAGTGGTTTCGGAAGATGGGAGCTAGGTTGTCCCAGTCCATAGTCTTGACATCAGCAGGCTTCGTGAGCGCCTTGGCCATTTTAAAAACGGCGGATCCGCAGTGTGTCAAAAAGACCGCTCGCCTCTTGCTGCCAGTGGCATCTTTCAGGTTGTTCAATTCCAAGAACATTTGGAAACGATCAATGTAGGACTCTCAGTCCTTGCTGGCCGGATTGAATGGTGCAGGTGGCATGGCGCTGCTGGCCATTTTGCTGGTCGTCTTCGCACTGTCTGCCACATGCTGGTCAGCCTTGCTGTCTCAGTATCCCATCCTCGTTGCCAGAGTTAAGTCTGGGCGGTGGGTCCCAAGGAGAGATGAGACTCGTAGTACTGAACAACAGCTCTTTATTAAGCAACCAGATACTGAGACAAAACCCTAGCCATGGCTGCTCTTTTTATAGAGCTGGCCGTGGCTAGGCAGCCAATGACAGGTTTTTGAGCAGCGTGCTTTCCTGCATGCTGCTGGCGCGTGCCTGTAAATCATCATCAGCATGCTGCGTGCAGAGAAGCAGCCTTTCAAAAAGTCCTTTTTTCCTGCTTTTTTAACTCAGCTGTGCCTTGCACAGCAGCTGAAGTTGAAAAAATCAGGAAATAAAGGTCAGGTAAGAGCCCGGGTGGGCAGGTGGGCAAAAACATCAGCAGACATAGAACCGGTTCTATGTCTGCTGCTCTTCAGAGCTACCGGTTCTACGGAGGTGGACAGAACCGGTAGATACCCACCCCTGCATATTACCATATGTGGTGGAAATGTCCAGATGCAAAAAGATATTGGACTAAAATCCACACATGGCTGGAAAAAATGATAAAACAACACATAGACTTAAAACCAGAGATATTTTTTATTGGGAATCATACTGGAAATATACAATAAAGAACTGAAGTATTTGATTGTAAATGTATTAACAGTGGTTAGAATTGTATTTGCTAAAAATTGGAAAAATGTAAAAATGCCAATGCAGGAGGAAGCCATTAAGAAAATTATGGAATGTGCTGAAATGAGTAAATTGACATATGAAATTAGAGAACAAGAAGATAAACAATTTTATAAGAAACACATGGAAATGAAATATGTTAGAAAACTCTAAAGGTAATAGAATGATACAGAATATATGTATAAAAATGTATAACCATTGAACGAACGTATAATACAAATTTATAGCAGATATAGAATATCTTGTATAAAATCATGAATAACAGTTTAGTCATTAAGTGACTAATAATTGATAATACCAGAACTTATATAAATGATAAGTGATAACTATGGAGAGGAAGCACAAAAGATTTGTAACCAACCGGCACACTATATGTATGTAATCTGAGGATGGTTTTATGTTTCTAAAAAAATAAAACTTGTTGGGGGAAAAAAGAGCAGTGGTTAGAATGCAGTATTGCAGGCTGATTCTGCCAACTGCTAGAAATTTGATTCTTACTGGCTCAAGGTTGACCTTCCATTCTTCTTGATAAAATGAAGACCCAGATTGTTGGGGACAATATGCTGACTCTGTAAACGGTTTAGAGCGGGCTATAAAGCATTATGAAGTGGTATATAAGTCTAAGTATTATTGCTACTGCTATCATCACATACACATGAAGCTCTGTGTTTTTCCTGCTGAAATGGTATGCAGAGAGAAGACGCCTACACTTGAGCATTATGTGTGTCCAGGGCAACTATTTCTTCAGCATACAAACTGATCTTTCTCGATTTGACCCTCTGTACCTTCAACCATTCCTTTGCTTTTTTCCCCCATTCCAGGGAAGATAAGCCCTCCTGAATTCTCAACCTACTTATATTTTCTCTTCTGCCCTACTTTGATCTACAGA